GCCAGCTTAAGACAGATGCTAGCGAAAATTATCTTCACTGGCGGCAGCCATACGAGGACCGCTATTGACAATTGAATTTTGCTGGCGGCTGTGTTAAGCCGGCCGCCAGCGATAATCGATTTTGAGGCAAAAAATTGAAATAACCACGTGCAGTTACCCTTTAACTGCCAGCAAAAAAAAATAATCCACATTCAAAAACATTGATGCATTTTCAATTTTTAAATCCACATCAAGAGATCTAATTCAATTCAAATCCAGATTTACATCAACATGTAAACATCAATTTCACACACCATCCAACAGTCCAAACATCTACATCGATTTCTCACAACATTTTCAACATTCAAACATCAACACATAGACATCGGTCATCGTCGTCGCCAGCGACCTTGGAGGTTGCTGTTGCCGCCATGTAACACCCTGAAAATTCCTGATAATAAAAATCACTAAAATTTCAAACTTTTTAAAACTTTTGCATCATGTTGGTTGTTATGATTCCTATTGCTTGCCAAACCATAAATGATCACAAGAAAAGAACTACATTTAAGCAATAGATATGATTTACGAGAATATATTTAATCCTACAAATAATTATGCACAAGATATTAAAATCAAATAAAAGAAAAGTTATTATTAACCTATTTTATCAAATATTAAAATATTTGAATAATGTAGGTGGGTGCCATAATATGAGTACACATGAAATGATGATTATTCAAATAAATTGAGCTCTCTGTATATATAATAGAATTATGGGAGTATTAATTCGATATGTAGATCGATATTACACCAAGTTCCTAATTGCATTTAGGGATTGAAATTTAATATATTAAACCCCTCCATATAAACTAACATATAAATAAATTGAACTAATGTGCTATTGTGTTAATAACGGTCTCATTAGAAAATTATAGAATCTTTAATAAACCTTAAATATTGGACAATATTAAATTTTGGGCAAATTCACATTTGAACACTTAATACGGTCACCCAAATGCTTAGGAGTAAATACAAATTTAATTTACAACTTTTCTCAATTTATAAATCAACCAAAACCCTAAAAGAAGAAAAATAGGAAAACTTTGAAAAATATATAATAATAATAAGAATATGTTCAATATTAAATTTGAATATAAATTTCGATGGAATAACTTAGACTTGGTGTATTTTACGTTGTGACAAAATTAGTGGCAATAGTATATTTTTTCTAATTGCAAAATACCTTCTAAAAACAAAAATGGCCGGCTAGCACTGTTCATTAGCCCCCCTAGGTGTTCGATTTGGTTCCTAGCCATCCTAGCCCTCTTCCTCCGCACTGCCGCTGCCGCGTCATGTCGCGTCGCCGTCGCCGCGCCGTCTCCAACCCGCCGCGTACTGTCGCCGTCGCCGTCGGCTGCGCCGCGCTAAGCCCCGTGCGCCGTCGCGTCGTCATCACCGTCGCCCGTGCTGCCGCATGTTGCCGTCGCCCGTCGCGTCGCCCTCGAGCCCCGCGCCCCCACACCGAGTCGTGCGCGTCGCGTCGCCATCACCCGTCGTGTCGCTCTCGAGCCCCGCACGCCATCATGTCGCCCTCAAGCCCCGCGCGCCATCATGTCGTCCTCGAGCCCCACGCGCCATCATGTCACCCTTGAGCCCCGCGCGCCATCATGTCGTCCTCGAGCCCCGCGCGCCATCATATCGTCCTCGAGCCCCGTGCGCCATCCGTCGCGTCGACCATTAAGCCACCCTTCCCACACCCTATAAATATCCCCTCCCATCTCCCTTCTTCCCCACACCCTCTTGGCTGCCATCACAAGGCCCCAAGAGCCCCCGAGCTCGTCCTCCCCTCTCAGCCACTCCTCCTCCCTTCTACACATTTCATCGAACACCTTGTGGGCGTGCTGCATCTTCTTCTCTACTCCACGGCCGCGACATCGAACTTCGTCGTTCCTCCACCCCTCGGTAAGTCCTCACTCCTCTGGCCTCTCCTAGTTCCGTAGAAACTAGAGCCCCCTTTAATTTCGCCAATTAGCAACCGAAGCCGTGCCGGTTCGGCCGCCGTTCCACCGCCGGCGAGCTCGCCGTGGACAAGCCATCCTGGAGCTCCTCCTCTCCATCTAACTAGCAAAATGGAATCCCCATACGCCGTAGATGCTCAAGCCCTCACCAATTTGGTCGGAAACCCTCCCCATCGCCCTAGCACCTAGCCACACGTGCCCAGCCATGGTGGCCATGCTGTGCCACTCGCCCCCGCGCCGTCCTGCGCCGTGGCAGCCGGCGGGAGATCGCCGGAGCCTTGCCGCACCCTTCCCTGGCCGCCGTCGGGTCGCCCTCGGCCGGCCTTGCCGTGCGCGTCGTGTTTCCCCTGCTGCTCCCGCTCGGTCGGGAGGAAGAAGGAGACGGAGGAAGGAGAAGACCATCCGAGCCACTGACAGGCCGGGCCCTCTCCTTGCTTTTCCCTAAGAAAATTAATTCAGTAGAAAAAGAAAAGGAATTCTGGGTCCCACCTGTTGGTCACTAGGGTTATGGATTAGATTACGGATTAAAAAAAATCATTTATGAACGGTAGCCTTTTACAATTTTTCGGATTTATTCCAATTTGAATCTTTAAACTAGCGTAACTTATTCGTTTTAACTCCGATTCGAGTGAAACTTGAACCTAAATTCATCTAAATTCATAAGCTTTCCAATGGTATACAATTAACTGTTTAATAAAATATATTTATAATTATAAATTAATTAATATCAAATGATTAGATAATAGTTAACCTAAATAGTGTGCCAATAAATAAAAATGGATATTGTACAGTAGAATAATTATCTTTAATATGTTTTGTCACTGTAGCAACCACATAAATTAATTATAATCAATGTTTGAAATTAATGGATATATAGGAAAATATTAGTGCCATTTATTAATCTATGTCCAAATATAATTAAAACCCATGACTTATTAGTTATTTAAATAGAGTTAGCCTTATAATTATTAGGTAAGTAAAATATAGATACACATAGATCGGTCCTAAGCTTGTTTATGGCAAATAATAACAGAGCTAGTGTGATTAAATCACCTATATGAAATTAATCAACGACATATCCCATATAATAGCATATAGTAGGAGAGGTGAGCAACCCTTAGTTAACCAAGCAGTAAATAGAAACTATTAAAATAAATGATTCAATATATTAAGATATTATGCACACATATATTGTACATCCCATTATAGATATATGGTATCGTATTAATTTGCTTGTTGCATATATTAATTTAGAGGGAGTATATGACAAACATGAATATTAGATAAATACTAGTTATACATCTTGTCCTCGTATAATTACAGATCAACTGTAAATTTGGATTATTCATTGTAAAATTATGTGATGGGATAATCCGTAACCATAATATGATTAACCTAAACAATTCTAACATACAAAGCATGGGTAATTGTTAACCTTTTATAATTTATTTTGACAAGTGAAATATGTACATAATTAAAATAAAGCCTCCATTAATAAAATAATAATACAAATGATTCACAGTAATTATTTGACCGATCCAAAATCCATCCAGTAACAGAACCTCTAGTGTATAACCGTTCTATTTAGATAGATGCATGTGTAACCATAATCCTTCCTTAGCCATTAGCTAGACTGAACCACCATGTAGATAGATGCATGTGTAACCATAATCCTTCCTTAGCCATTAGCTAGACTGAACCACCATGACAACAGAAAGACTAAGAAACCTTAGCTCTTAGCTTGATTAGAGTCCATTAGCAAGCGCGAATAATATGAGCAACCTTAGGTTCGACCTTAGCAAATATATTTTGTTTGTGCATATTTGATTGTTGCTTGAATATTGGTTTTTCTCGCGTATTTATAGACTTTGTGTATCGGTTAGTCGTGAGGCAACGTCTGCAACTTCCAGGAGGTGAAGGTTAATCAAGATTATATCGAGAATAGGGATTATCCTGAGCAGGCAAGTCATCACCATTCCTTGAACATGTTGATCCCAATTGCGAAATTGTTTTGTTTACAAATAAAATTGTATGCAATGATGAACATCCTACTTGTGATTATGCCATGCCTTGATTATTGTTTACCCTTAAAATCCTTGTAACCATGATTACGTATGAGTCCCTAGTCAATTATGACAATTGCTTAGAAATGCCATTCTAGAATCATGCATACTCATATTTATCAAATGCTATATGCTTGGGCAATTACCTTTGGGAAGGCAATTGAGATGCGGCATGTGGAGACATGAGCGCCACATTGCCATGATGTTGATGACATGATTTTTGAAAGGAGAAATAAAATTAAACAATTGTTTTCGACTGGGGCGGACGGAGGATTTGGGTGGTATCTGGGAAAGGCTAGTACCGTCCCCGGTCAATTAAGGACCGAGCCATGAAGTTAAGCATGAAACGACCCCCGTACAACCGTACTTCTCGAATGGGTATAGACCTAGCGGATTAGATAGCCGAGCGGAGGCAGTATCCCTACATAGATGGTTCACCCCTGAGTGATGCAGGTGCGCTACGATGGGACAGCCGTTGAGGTAAGGCCGAGAGGCGTGCCCTACATCGGTGTCGCCATTGGTAGGACTGCCATGAGTGTGTGAGAGAGAGAACTTAACTTGAACCATAATTTAATATGTGTGAGACTTCTCTTTCCCGGGAGTGCCAGAACTCCTCACACTGCTAGAAACATGGACTCCTAGAGTGCATGAGGATTTAAGTTCATGGAGCAGGTACTGCCAATGCGAGGTTATCGAAAAGCTTTGCCGTGACGCGTCTCATGTGTTGGGACGAGGCTCATGTGTTGGGCAGTCGCGGAGCGCGGGTAAAGTGTACATCCACTGCAGTGTGAGTAAACCAAATCTATTCGAATAGCCGTGCTCGCAGTTATTGAGCACCGGGACATGTATTACACTTGGCTAGACTCTAAATTCTTAACCTGTGTGGGATAGGATATTGCATGATGATTTTTATGCTGATGGAGCCACTTCCTGAGAGGAGGGAAGGTGGACGTCCTCAGAAAACCATGACGACTCAATGGCGGGAAGCTATCCTTGGGATCACAATGGATGGTGGACAGAACCGTCGTTGTTTAATGTGAACACTGGTATTAAAACTTGATCAATCTATGCTAGGTCTCATGCTTGTGAAAAGATTTGCAAAAGCTTGCTTTACGCAAAAGAACCTGGAGCCCTTCCTTGAAATACCCTCTATCATATGCATTGTTGTTGTGGTGGCTTGCTGAGTACGGTTGGTACTCACCCTTGCTATTTATATATCTTTTAGGAGAGTGTTGAAGAGAAGCCCTTGTCGATACGCTTGCGTATCCAACAAGATGATCGGAGTGCGGTCTTGTTCTAGGTCTCGTTCCCCAGTCGACTGCCTGTGGCATGTTAACCGGGCCCTTATATTATTTTGTCTTCCGCTGTTGTTCTCTGATAGTTGTTGGCCTACCTGGCCCTAACGTAAGTATTTAACTCTTTTAGCCTGAATTCATTCATGATATGTTGTGATCCAACTATGTATGTGTGTACCAACTACTGATCCAGGGATTGGTACAGATAAACACAGAAGATTTCCGATTTCCAAAATCGGGGGTCTACACGCCAACGAAGCCATCCCCTCGGCTACTGCTGCCGCCGTGTCCCTATGGCCAGATCGGGGAGAGGGAGGGGAGGGGAGGGAGGGCGTCACCGGTCTCCAACCATCGCGCCACTGGATCCGTCCCCCGTCACCATCACCGCCGCCGCCTTGAGGCTGGAGGAAGCCACTGTCGCCTAGAGGGGAGGAGAAGGCAATCGCACCTAGATCTGAGAGAGGGAGGGGAGGGAGGGCAGGGTCACCGCGGCCCTCCGACGGCTAGATCCACCGCTCGCGCCCCTCCCGCTGCCGGATCCGCCGCCTGCGGCCCTGCGACGGTCAGATCCACCGTGCCTGCACCCGCACCCGTGCCCCTCCCGGCCGAGGATCACGGCACCCCTCCTGGCCCCTCCTGGTAGCCGTCGTCACTATCGCTAGTCCGCCGTGTTTTCCAACACTGAGGAAAGGCTGGAGAAGAAGAGGAGGAGATGGAATGGGAGAGGAGGGGATAAGGAATGGGAAGGGATAAAATTAGTGGAGATTTTAATATAGAGAATATTTTTTCGTAGTCGGTGCTCGTTAGCTACCACCAGCAAAAAAATAATTTTTCGCTGGCGGTTGTTTAAGTGGGCCGCTAGCAAAAATAGCTATATTTTCTCTGGAGGTCTACGTAACCCAACCGCCAGTGAAAATTGATTTTCGCTGGCGGTTTTTAGCCCCTTACCCCTCGTTACAATTTCACAGGCGGGATACACAAAAAACCGCCAGCGAAGAAAATATGGTACCGCCATGAAAAATCTATTTTGCAGTAGTCTGCTGATCTTGAAGACTGTCACGCCTCTGGAGAAGAAGAAACTGGTTGCTAGAATCATACCAAGAACAAAAATATTTTCACTGAAACATTTGAGGTAAATAAAAAATTAATGGCCTTTGATTTTTTACTGCTCTTTCTTTAGCAGGGTGCGTGAGGTGTGTTTTGGTTGTGTGCACTTTGTTGTGCGGAGCCCATGAGTGTTCTCAGAATTTTGAGATTAGTAAAGCTTCCATTACTAAAAATAAGATAAAATAAATAAATAATTAGTGTCTCTCTGCGGCCTTTAACTCTCCTATCCCTTGCACCCCTGGTGAATATACCTGGGTGAGTTTTGCAATGTCAGATAATACATGAACGATCCAGATTGATGTATATCCCTACCCCTGAATGCATGCTGGTGTCCAGTGCAAAAGCTGCTCATCTTTACTCCCCTGAAGCAGCATGGGGAAAATATCCTTTACACCTAGGTACCATGGTAGTATGCATGCGGTTTAAATAGTTATATAAAATTTCATACAATTTTGACGACATTATGAGAATATAAAACAGTATGCAAATATGCAAGTCCAGGTAGCGTGAAACCAAATGGCCCAGTACAGCACCTGCGGCAAGCCATGTTCCTTGCTGCACAGGCTTCCTCCAGGGCTCCCCCATCGACTCGGCAGATCGAATTCAACAGGGACTTTCTGAAGCTTGTCGAATTCAAATTGCAGCCACTGAAGGATGCAACTGTTAGTGACTACCACACATCCACCACGCAGTGCCGTTTTTGCCAGATTTTGGCTCAATGACTAGCTGAGGCACAACAACTTCCATTTAAAGCATTCATACATTTCCTGATTCCTCCTAGGCCAAGCTGCTGTCTGCACTGAAGTGGCTTCTAGCTCCTTGAGAGTTGAGACGACATTGTTCATCTAGATCTCTCTACCGTTAGCATTATATTTCTTTGTGCTGCATAGGTTGCTCATGGATAGATGCGTATGTAGACTAGGAGGATATATTTATATATGATTTGATGTTTGGCATAAGGAAGATGCGTTAGCCATCTATTCAACCAAGCCATCTCAGTGAAGGATCTATAATATTTATGGTGTGATCTGTTTAACTGTTTTGCAAAGTCACAAAAAAGATGACCCGAAGAAAATGGAGGGAGCATCCTGGTGTTGTATTGGAGAGGATGCAGATGTGAGTTCTCAAAAAAGAAAAGATCAGATGTGCTAACATTTAATTTCACTCGGTTATTAGTTCAGTACATACATACAGTCATTATTTTGTTCAATCAAGCAACTAGCAGGCTACAACTGAAAAATTAATGTTGACCAAGTAGGATCAGCCAGATACTTGCTGGATGTTCATCTGTTGAAACGGGCAAGCAAATTTTCACAAGATACTAGCTGAATAATGTCGTTTTGTCACAAGATAACTCGTGGACGCGTAGCTGAAGCTGATGTAGATGTAGCAAATTTTCGAGATGAGCAACCAGAGTAGAAGCTTTGCTACTAAAACTTGCATGAGCAGGATCATCATGTCAATTTTTGCTACCAAAGAACTAATTTCCTATGAACTGAACCTATGTATACCATATGAACTAGCACTCAACATGGCCCCATCTGTACTCCAAAGGTGTAGAGTTCGCGTGTGTGCTTTGAGCTCCTATATATCATGCTACCAAATGAGTGTATTATTGTCTTCTTTGCATGGAAAATAAAAGGGGAAACGGAAAGAGAGAAAATTTCACAAAACTATATGTTTTGGGGTTCAAGTTGTAGAAAACCACACACATTTTTTATATGTGTCCATCAAAAGTAAATGAAGAGAGTATTTAGGGTGTGGACATGGCATCGTGATTGTTCCACCTAGGATAAAGCTCCCAAGTCTACATCCTAGGTGGAACAGCCATATCATCTCGCCGGTGGCCATGTTTGTTGACAGTGTAGTTTTATGAAATTTTTTAATCCAAAATATATGTAGTTAAGTGTGCCCAAGTGTTAAAGTGTGTGTGGTACAAATAAAGCAGTGTTAGGGCCTACTTGCTCCCTGCATTTGTATTCGTTGAGTTGATCTCGGTCGAATGCTCCGATCAAGGTCTTTATAATCACTCGTCCTGAAGCTGCTAATCAGCTGGTCACCATTTTCGTAATCATTAGCTTCATAATCACCACATGTCCACTATTGGGTGGAACCAATAAGGCATACCAAGCTTAGTTCAAAATGCCAAAACAATAAGAGGATCCAAGTAGGAGACATTGCAGTTAGCTGATCACCATTTTAGGTTAAATTTGAAGGATAAATTTTCTCCTCACAATATAATGTATACATAACAGGTGGTCTGCAGGTTGCAGCTCAACAGATTGATGATGAAGTACCAATCAGGATCAGTAAACTTTTCTCTGATTTCGCCTGATTAATTATGCGGGTGATCAGAAAGTAAATGACATACAACTCCTATCTTCCAGTGGTTCAGAACATCTCTACTGCAATGAACATGCTGTCAATATGCAGTTGAAGGTGCAAAAGAACACCACGAAATGAAAAGAGATAGCCATTTGCATATCCCCGTGGTCCATTCTTCTAATATATTTTTGCGAACGCACAAAAGAGTTGCACACCAATATATTCTTGTAATATATTGACGTGCAATCCTTTTGCGCGTTCGCGAAAATATCCCCGTAGTCCATGGGCTCATGACATGAAAACTCCCGAATCCTGATGCCTCCCAGGACAACCATAGAAACCCATTGCTGTGACCTTTGCCTCCATGAAAGGATTATCTCAGTCTCTCTGAACAAAATATGTTCATTTCTCAGTTTGGGAGTCTTTACTCACTGTTAAAAAAAAGGAATCCTTGCTCTTTATCTGCCTGTAATAGAATGTTTTTTCCAACTGATGGATGTGAGGCTTATTCATATCTTAAATTATGTCCATCACCCTTTAAGACAGATAAATAATTTACTACCTGTATCACCATCACTGCGGGATCTGCCCTTGGATGTGTGACTTCTTCATATCTTAAAAATTTTGTTCGGCTTTGGAACATTAGTAGGTTCAATATGTGTTTAATTACATTCCTATTACTGCTAGTCAGTTGAAATGATCAGTATGACCAAAGCTATGCAAAATTTTGAATCCTGTGATGGGTTAACATCGCTTTGTAAGCAATGCGAGATCGCAGTGGTGGTCTTCAAGAAAGCACTTGGTGAAGAACAATTTGCTCGAATCTGACAAGCTTGCTTTCATTTTTGTTCGATGTCATCTGTACAATTGAATTTGGTGTGGTTTGGTGTGAAATCTGAATGAGGCAACTATGGTGCGATCTGTTTGTCAAATTCAGAAATAAATTAGCCCGAATGGAATTGAAGTGAACACCCTTCTGATGCATGTCTTGGAGATGCATATGCTTAAACAAAATGTCTCCTTAAACCTAGTACAACCATCCACCCAAGTCACTGAAAGTTTTAGTCTGTGATCAAATGTAATACTAATATCTACTCCCTCCGTTTTACAATGTAAGTCATTTTAGCATTTCCCACATTCGTATAGATGTTAATGAATCTAGACATATATATGTCTAAATTCATTAACATCAATATGTATGTGGGAAATGCTAGAATGACTTACATTATGAAACGGAGGAAGTAAATCCAAGCAATTTATTACTTCAGTATGTGAAGTCATTCTTGTGTTCACTTGGGAACTAGTAGCAGGCAAGGCAAGGCCAGGCGTGCAACAGAATGAGAGTAGTTATTATTATTATTATTATTATTATTATTATTATTATTATTATTATTATTATTATTATTATTATTATTATTATTATTATTATTATTATTATTATTGAAAAGAGGAGAGTTTATATTGTTGTTGCACTACATCAAGCACATTGATTTTCAAACAAAAATCTTATACACAACACATTTAGCACTAGATTGGACCGAGGTCTCGTATCATCCCATTGTGCCAAACTGAAAGAGAGCTCGAACTACATACATGGATGGAGCAGCGCAAAACCTATAGCCTAGCAGAGCACCTGTGGAAAGCCATGCCCATGAGGCCACCTGTGGTGGCAATGCTATCCAAGTCGCACACAGCCGCCATTTCCGAGCTTGGAACTCGACAGCTTCTTCGAGGGCTCCATTCCGCTACCGTCGACTCGATCGCTGGATCCAACTCAACATGGAGATTTGCAGCCACTGCAGGATGCAGCTGGTAGTGACCATCACACTTCAACTATGATCATATCAAGTGGTTTAAACCATTGTTTGGCTCAAAGCAGGAGAATATTCTGGGGTGCCACATCTTCTCTTTGAAGTGTTCATACATTTCCCGATGCCTCCTACGCCAAGCTGCTGGCTGTAGTGATGGCATCTGGTTCGCTGAAGCATTAATTTGTTTAACTTGATCTCTCTACTGGTAGCATTTTGTAACAAGATAACTCCTTACTCCTAGCCGTGGCTGTAGTAAAGTTTCGAGATAGAGTGACTTGAGAAGATACTAACAGATACTACACATTTTATAGCGTAAAATTTTGTACCTCTCGGTACTACAATAAGGTTTCCACTAAAAATTTTGATATCTCTCAGAAACTGTAAAATTTGTCTTAGAGATAAGCAACGAGAGCATAGGCTTTGCTAGCTACCTAAACTTGCATTAGCACGACCATCATGTCAATTAGAATTCATCAGCAAACACTAATTTCCTAGGAAGTGATCTCCATCGACTCTTCTTTCGTTTCTCAGCTTATGTTCATTTATCTCATTTGTATGGAGCAAAAAAGTGTTCCACCAATTTAATGAATACACTGTGGCACTGCTTGGTGGTAGCAACAGGAGGGGTTACTATTTTGGAACACAAACACCATAAAACTTCTCTGATTCTAAAATGTACGAGAAATTTCTGAACCAAATAATAACCCCTAGTTGATGGGCAATTTATGAACAAATTAATAAGGCAAAAAGAGAAGCATGCTACTAAATCACTGGATTGCAAAGGATTTTATTACAAGTACACTTGTAAGCATAGTACCAGATAATAATTGATATACTCTCAAGCTTAGGTCACAACCAAAACGCATACATCTTCAAGCTGCTTAGACCATGCAAAAAAAGGTTACAACCTCCACATGGAGATCATTTCTTCTTCGGCATGGAGTTCAGGGTAGCAACCAAACATGCCCCTGGCCCGCCGTAGACATTGTTTGTCATTGTCCCAGGTAGAAAATGTCCTAATGCTTCCCATACTTACCTAACATACCATATGAACTAGTACTCAACATGGCCAGCCCCCTCTATATACCTTGCTACCAAATGAAGTATGCGTTGTCTTCCTTTCATGGAAAATAAAAACGGGAAAGAAGAAACAACAAATGGAGCAATATAATCTGACTACATGCATTTAGCATGCTCAACGTTGAACTTCGCTTTATGATCAGAAAGAGCAAATGATCAAGCATGCATGCTGAATGAACACAAAAAAGTTAGTTAATTTGTATATATGTAATACTTTTTTTCCTGAAAAGAATATATGATATATGGTTATTCTTCTTCTACATACGTACTGATCTTTTTTTTTGCGAGGACATATGTACTGATCTAGTATCCATATTTTTCATCAGCTTATGTATTAATATAGAGAAAATTCGATCCATAGCACACAAAAAAAGCCGGTACCAAAAAATAGCACAAAATTTTCCTCTTTCCATCAGAAGCACATGCCACTATTTTTTCTTCGATATCACATTTTCCATCCAAGTCCATCGGTTAGCCATGATTAGGAGCGTGAAAAGACAAATTTGCCCTTTATTCCAAACCTTAGTTTGGACGGTGAGGGCGACTGGATGTAGGCGAGGCGGTGGGGTGGTCGACAGCGATGGCCCTCCCATCCCATGGCCTCAGCCCCCATCCCCAAGCTCATTCGGCGTTGTTGCCACTGCTCTCCAAGCTCCGCCTCCACCATCCCCATCACTGAGCTCGTTCGTCGCCTCCTCCCCCAACGCATAAGGACATGTACTGCTTGATTCAAATATTGTTAACTATGCCAGGGTCTTCAAACATTCGTGTTCGTTGTGTTTGTGCACACACCATTAGGGCCTAAGACCCTTAATATCTAAAAATAAGTAAGTATGAAGCCTTAAGGCCTCTTTATAATTAACTTCAGTTATTAATGACCCAGTGGTTGGAGGAATTTTGCAAAAGATATCTTATACCGATGGATATAATCACTTATGAGTGATCTAGACTCAAATAATCAGGTATACTACTCTGGTAACAGCCCATCTACCTCAACCCTAGACATAGGATTCCTTTGCGGCCATCTGATAGCTTTACATCGATGATTGCTGAGTTTCCGTGACACCAGTTTTTGAGATGAGTAGCAAAAGAACTCCCAATTCCTCAAAGGCCTATATATGACAGCAAATTAGCAATCCACTGGCCTAGTCCACTTAACAATCTCTTTCATTTCTCTGTCAGCTTGAGGGCTTGAGGCCAACAATAGCTACCCATTGCCATGGCCTTTGCCTCCATGAAAGGCTTCTCTCTCTGTCTCTCTGAAGAAAATATGCTCATTTCTAAGATAGGGAGTCTCTGGCTCTCTGCTCCCCTTCATCTGCTTGTTTAGGTTTCTCTCCTCTATCTGCATGCATGTATATTGATATGGTGCAATTATCGAACACTGTCATTCCACTTCAAAGCAGAGCCTACAACTGGAAAAGAAGCGGCTTCAGTTCAGTCTCAAGGTTCTGGCAAGGATAAGTTGATGGCTATGCCTCTTTGTACCTTAATTCAGAGCCATCCCTATCAATCAATGATGAAATCAACGGCTCAGGTCTAGCAAACAAAAAAAAAAGCATCACATATAAGTCAAACTATGTGGGAGTGATATGTACAGTGAAAGTAAACAAAATGGATTGTTATTCTTGTTCCTCTTGTGGTGTCAAGTATTTAGCATCTGATGAATGAAACTTCCGGCTTCACATACTCAATCAAAAGAAAAACAAGTGCACTGAACAACATGTATCTGTATTCCATTTTTTTATTGACGATGGCTAAGTGAAGTTTGAATTTGGTGATTGTCGGTGTTATAGATAAGGTATACCCAATAGTCTTGGGTAGGGTTCGGCAGGGCCCACAATATACCATGTTTTATATAGAATCATGCCTCATATACGAAAGATGTTTTGGATAAGGAAGGAAAAGCAGAGTTCTATTCAGGCACTAAGAACTACTCGGATCATATCCATACTTGTCTCCCTAATTCCACTTATCCGAGGGTATAAATACATGACCCCTTAGAAGGAGGGGGGACACCCCTCTTACCCCTCCGCCGCCCCCGCCACCACTGGTGTTCGCCTTCCCCGCCAAAGGAAGAAGATGGTGGCAGCGCCGTCATCGGCATGGCAGGATCTCCCCACCGACCTGCTGGTCCTCGTGCTGCTCCGCTTCCCGTCCCTCACCGACCGGGCCCGCCTCCGCACGGTGTGCCGTTCCTGGCGTGCCGGCGGCCACCCGCTGCTTCCTATCTTAAGCCGCCATCATATTGCAGGGAGACGCCATTTCTGTCTCCTATTGCAATCAACAGAAAGGAATCGTCGTCATCAGCTCATTTACAGACAGGAAAAAGAACTCAACCATGGATGTATCTGATATCGCCTTCTTCCGAGGGAAGCTATACACTCTCAGTAGAGAGCAGAAGGGCTTGCTTGATGTTCTTGATCTCTCGATGACGAAAAAAATGTCATCATCAAGATGTTATCAGTATTCAGTGCATCATCCATGATGATCCTAAACAGCCGGTAATGTATCGTTTTTTAGGACTGATCATCAGTATGTGTTGAGTCCAATGGCACCTAAGGTCTTCGAGGCATGGAGCTGTGGCGCAGTTTCTGACTTGGTTCTTCCCGGCTGATGTGTAATTGCAGCTTAAAATGTTGTTTGGTTTTGGGACATTACTACGTTCAATATGTGTATTTACCTTCATATCACTGCTAATCAGTTATGCAAAACTGGGAATCCTGAACATTGTTGTGTAATTAAGCTATACAAAATAGGTCGTCTTCAGGTCAGTAGTTGATGAAGAACAACTGGCTGAATTTATGTTATGTGGTTTGCTCTTCATTTATAAAAAAAAAATCGAATGAGCAACTTGCTGATGTCTTGGACAAGATGGAGATGCAGATGCTAAAACAATGTCTCCATAAGCCTACTGAAGTCATCCATCCAAGTCACTCAAGTTTTAAGTTTGTGATCAGATACATTTTAAGTTTGTTATCAGATATACATTAATTTCACGCAATTATCAATTAATTGCATCCAGTCTATTGTGCTCTAATCGGGCAATGCAACACGAAAATGGTGAGCTGGGTAGAGCAGCTGCGGCAAGACACAAGGCCGCCCAGTTATTCCTGGCAATGTCATCCCTGCTGCAAGCAGCCACTATCATTGATCATGGTGCTCGATGGCTTCCTTCCTGGCTCCACAGCCATCGACTCAGGGGATCCAACTCAACAGGGATTCCCACTCGCTTGTTTTCCACGATTTGCAGCCACTGCAGGATGCAAATGTCAGTGAACATCAAACACCCACCATGTCTGACCAATTTAAGCCAGATTTTAGCTCATATTAAGGCGAAACAGTGAGGTAAAATCGGCTTACCATTGAAGAAATCAGAGGGTTTCCGATGCCTCCTAGCCCAAACATTGGTAACTGATAAGTGTTCATGCCTTCGTTGCACAGTAGAGGGCACATGATACAAGCAAAGCTTTGCTGCTGGTAGCATCTGCAGTGGTTGGACATGACAGAAACTGGCCTGTTGCTTCTAATCTAATAATGATAAGAACGAACGAACATGGAGCAGACATCAGTCAAATGTGCAGTTATAAGCTAGTTCAATACATGAAATCATTATCGTGTTCAATTGGACATTTGCGCAACAAGCGGGCTACAACTGAATGTTAGCTATATATAGGTTCAAGTCATGAACTTATTGAGTAAAAGGGCATGTAGCCTAGTGGTTGCAGTAACCTGAGTAGCACCCCAAGATCCTGAGTTCAATTCTCCAAAGGAGCGAATTTCAATTGGGTTATTTGAGAGCTAAGTTCCCTGTTCGATAGGCTAAGTTCCTAATTTAAAAAGGCTGCATGTATCCGGTTGGATGTAGAGGCTGGGTAAAAATACCCTTCTCTAAAAAAATGAACTTGTTCATCAGTTCAAACTGAATGGGAGTTGCATTAATTGTCGTTATATTACATCGAGAATCAAAATTTCCAACAGGTTAGTATACGTACAGCATTGACCTCCAAACTCATTAAAAAAAGGCAAATGTCATCCATGAGTTTGTAAATCATAATTATTTACAGGTCTATTACTCCATTTTTATACATTCATCATCCACGAAGAGAAAAATAATGGTGAGTCGATCAGGATTTAAGAAGAGCATCCTTCCCCTCGACCATGGGCCTCCTCCCCCTTGATGATAGTGGGGGTGTTGGCATTGGCTCGTTGTCCTAGACCGCGCCGATGCAGATCTAGTCCACGGACACGGCCGAGCTGCAGCGGCAGATCCAGATCCAGTCCACCATCTTCAAAGAGGTTAGTCGTCAAGTTCAGGTGAACAAATTTTTGGTGTCATCTCTAGATTGGAAAAAAGTTTGTTGCTGTTAGATGTGTGTCTGCAATATTGACAAGGGGTTGTGTTCAAATTGTTGTGTATAAATGTCTGTGTACAAAAATTGATGTGTAATTTGGGTTTGATTCTGGATTGATGTGGATCGAGTGGCTTCCTTTTTTTTTACTGATGAGATCCTAAGAGTGATGGTTTTTTATCCAGCACTGATGAGCCATAGAATGCCGGCACAAAAGGCTGGTTCCGACTGACACCAATGGCTTGTTCTGTACTAGTGAGACCCCCTTTGTTCATTGGCAGTTGCGTGAGGCTGCCATTGACATGCTCCGACCTCGACGGCTTTCTCCATATGGCTCCATCTCTATTGACTCGACGGATTCAAGTCGACAGGGATTATCTCGCACTTGTTTTCTGCGATTTGCGGCCACTGCAGGATGCAAGGGTTAATGAACATCACACATCCACATCCACCTTGTTTAATCAATTTAATCCAGATTTTGACTGAAACTAAGGCGAAATGATGAGGCAACATCATCTTATCTTTGTCAAATGTTTATGATGCGGGTAATTTTACCATCCTTGAGAAGATATCTAGAGGTACCATATTTTCTCCTCCAGATACCAAAATTTGGTACCTCTAGATACTAAGTATCTTAAGGCACTAAAAATTCTCGTGTAAAATTTTGGTACCTCAAGCTACCTTTTAAAGGATTGTAAAATTCCTCTTATGATGCTGCCTAGGCCGCCTAGGCCAACCATTGCAAGCTGCTGGGTGCAGCGGCCTCCTCCAGCTCCCTAATCATTTGATACTGAAGGGCAGTGAACTGCCTCTTCTCTTTTTGTGTCAGTTCACTTCAGTGCGCCACAAATTACATACAGGTTCGCATTTGCGAAAATATTGTGTCATCCCTCAGCTATACATGTGGCATCTTGCATGATATAGAGATAAAGAAAATCTATCCAGCCGGTATTACTGAATTCCAGAGCAGTCACCACATGCTGGGCTCCAGCGACTGTGCCGCCGAATGCTTTCGCTCGCCGCGGTTTGCCGCTTGGTGGCACTGGCTTGGCAGTCAGCACCTACACGACTACATCCTCTGACATGAGAAGTCCTGATGCCTCCTAGGCCAAACGCCACTTTCAAAATCTTGAAGACGATATGTCATGTAGAATACTTGTGAAATTCCCGGCGAAGAACTGCAAGGAGTTGCCTTTCTCATCATGCTATTTTCCTTTGTGGCTTCGTCTCGTATTGTGTATGTGGAGCAGAAGGGATAGGTTCATATATATAGATGCATTGTCTGATGGCAGCAATTTAAGATGTGGGATGGACAATTCAGAATATATGTGAAATATCCGTGTCAAATTTTAACCCCATAGCTTGATTTTTGTTGGTAGGTCAGATCAGTTTGTCTCTTCAATTGTTCAACTCAATGCAGCGAGTTATCGACCATGCCAGCTATACCACTTGACTTGACGAGTTAATTTCGAACATATAGCTTGGCAAAGAATAATTAACACCGGTACCGAGGTTTGCAATTTCGATCATAATTATTAGGAGTAGCTCATATCAAGTTCATAACTACTTACATGTTTTTTTATGGGGAGTGAAATACTCCTATAACACCTATACGTGTTCTTAGTAACTGAATCGAAAAGAACAACAAATATTTATACCATGTTGAAACACGAATTAGTAGTAGAAAGCAAAATCAAGAAACAAATTTTGTCGACCAGCCACCATGGTTGTACTATACCAGTTGCCCAAGGGAGGGTCGTGGTGGCATGTCTGGTCACTGTTGAGAGGTTCTTGGTGATGCCTGCCTGACAATTTCAACAGGTGACATGCAAGCTCCTGATGCCTCCTAGCCCAACACCCATAGCCACCATCTACATGGCTGGAGTGGCTTCTGTTCCATGAAACATTGGTTGCACCATTGTTATGTCAATTGAATATGTATCCTTCAGTCCTTTCTCAGCTTGTGCAACTGCATCTCATATTTATAGAGCAAAAGGGTGTACCACTACGTACATTACTAATGGATGCACATCGCAGTCTAGTGGTACAGAACGGAGTGTGGTTGTTTCTGAAAATGTATGACAAATTTCTGTTACTTCAATTCTTCAATTCAAAGTAGAAAGTCAGTGGCCACGCGAACCACTCATGATTTTAAATTGCAGAATTTTGTTACATCATTTCAGAAACAAACAATTACTGGAATCCATAAGTTCATTATTAGTTGGTTGATTCGATCACAAAAAGGCGGCGTGGATTGATCAAAATCTGTGGCTGCTAGCCAACTCGGAGCTCAAGAAGACTGCGCATCTCCTTCATGCATAGGGTATATGACAATATCCAGCTAGCATTTGCTTCTGTGCACATGCCGATCATCTCCATGATTCTGGACTGTACAACATGTGAGATGGGGTAATCAAACCATTGCTGCCTGAGTCTGTGATGAAAGAGCTGCGGCACAAGCGCCACTTTCTGACTTGGTTCTTCCCGGCTGATGTATAAATTCTTCGTAGCTTAAAACTGCTGTTTGCTTTCGGAACATCAGTATGTTCAGTTATGCATTTACCTTCTTACTCCTTCTAATCTGTTGAAACGATCAGCACAACCAAACTGTGCTAAATTTAGAATCCTTTAATGGCAGAGCAATTTCTTTGCAAGCTATGCAAAATTGGCTGTCTTAAGGACAACAGTTAATGAACAAAAATTTGCAACTGTGCTTTCGTTTTTATTTGATATTAACTGGCAAAATTTATGTGGTTTGGCCTGAAATCTGAATATGGTGTGATCTGTTTGGCAAATTCAGAAACAAGATGGCCTGAATAAAATTGAAGTGAACATGCTGCTGATGTCTTGGAGAAGATTCAGATGCTAAGACAATGTTGCCTTAGGCCTAGTACAGCCATCCAACCAAGTCAATGAGAGTTTTAGTTTGTGATCAGATGTACCACTAATTTCTAATTCCAAGCAATTATAGTTCAGTACATGCAGTCATTCTTGTGTTCAATGGAGAACTAGCAAGCTACAACTTAATGTGGGTCAAATAGGTACCCAGGTCCCTAATTTCTTCAGCAATTCTAATCAGCAACAACGCAATGGCAAGGCTTACAACTGAACGAAAGTTGCATTGTTGTTTCACTGCATTGTTGTCGTACAACATGTATTGCTGCTGGTGGCATTGCAGAAATTGAACATGGCCTGAACATCCGCAGATAGCAGCCAAGGGGGTCAGAGATTAAAACGCTGGCGCCAATTGCCATTCAATTTAGAACAATCAGTTGGACATGGTCTGAACAATTAGTTTCATTTTAGCTAGCTGCTATCAGTAGCAGTGGCCTCCACTACCAACAATCGGCTAGGATCTGGCAAGTTAGAGTCCTTTCATGTTGTTGGTATTTACTGGGTAAATCTATGAGTTAATTTTGTCTGAAATCTGAATTTGGCATCGGGGGTCAACTTTCAAAGACTTGTTTCAGTCCAAATGATAATAGCAGGGTGTGATTTTTTAGACTGGCAGCAATGGCATGGTTTATTTCAGAAAATTCAGAAAATAAGGTGGCCTTAGAAGAACAATTGAGTGAACATCTTGCTGTGTACCAGGGAAGACGCAGATGATCCCATAAGCATACTTTATACAATGCGATACCGGGCAGTTATTTGTTCACTACATGCAAACTTTATTAGTTCAGTGACTGAATTGTCTAGCAGGTTGGCGTACAACATTCAGGATTCAGGAAGAGAAGATATTCGGAAGAGGATTTGAGCTGAAGAAGCAGGACGTAGATATCCAACTGAGTAGAGCAGTTGCACCAAGCCATGGCGTCCGAGTGGATCATTGGCAGTGCTTCCATCCTTGTTGCACGAGGCTGCCATTGACAAGCTCCGAGCTCGATGGCTTCCTCTCTGCCTCCGCTACCATTGACTCCACGGTTTTATGGACTGTCTCACGCTTACTTTCTGCTATTCCAACGCACTGCAGGATGCAAACTGTTAGTGAGTGCACATCCACCATGTTTAACAAACTTAAGTCAGATTTTGGCTGAAACTAAGGCGAAAGTGATCGAGGCAACATAAGTTTACCTTCAAAGATTTCAAAGGATTTCTGATGCCTCCTAGGCCAACCATTGCAAGCTGCTGGGGTGCAGTTGCCTTTGTCTCCCTGAAGGACTGAACCAATGTTCATCTTCATCACTATCCTATAGCCTATAGCATTTATTGTGCTCCTTCATTCACTCATGGGTTTACATATGGATAGCCTAGAATGGATATATATGATGTGAATGAGTCATGACATAAAGCAATCAAGTGAAGTGCATTGAATTGTTTTGTTCTCTTTGGGTGTCAGGCTTTCAACAATGCAAGCCATCAAGTTCTCACTCCGTCTAAAATAAGTACAGTGTATTGTGTTCTTCAATAGAGGATCTGCTGATCTGGAAGACTGTTACATCTCTTTTTTTTTAGAAAATGGATTAAAATCCGGCCTCTACATCCACAATGGATGTATACAGCCTAAAGTCATACAAGAGTACTTAGACCCGAATTCCTTACAATAAAAGAGTACCAAAGTGACAACACTTAAAAGAGAAAAGAGAAACACAAGACTACAACAATCTTCTTTTAAGGTTCCACCCATATTTTGCATACAACTCCATGACCCTTGCCTCCAAAATCTTGCAACATTCTTTCAATTTGTGGTCATCCTCTTTCTTAAGCAACAAAGTCTATTGAAGCACCCAATAAGTCCTCTTGAAGATCAGATGTAAAAAAGAATTAGTTTTGGAGCCGGACACTGGTTGCTAGCATCAGAACCAAAATAGCAATCGTGTCCACTGTGATTTGAGAGAAGAACGGGAGATAAGAATTCCCGGTGCCTCCTAGGCCTACCACACCCATGGTAAGCGGTTAAGTGCAGCAGACACTGAATTTGTTTTACTCTATATATGATTATAGTCCTACACCTTTTGATAGTTCATATGATTTCTGATGCCGCAGCCAGAAGCATTTTTTGTGCTCCGTTATTCGCTCATGGATTTACATCTATATACATAGACTATAAGGGATACATATTATGTGATACCTGACATAAGGCAGTCATTTAACACTGCCAGTACAAGTGAAGGGCAGTGAACTGTTTTTTCCCCCTCTTTGTTGATCAGGTTGTTAGTCAAAATGCAACCTAGCAAGTTCACCTTCCATCTAGAGAAGTGCAGCATAATGTATTGTTTAGAAACTGATTACATCATACCATCAAAACCAAAATAGTAGTCATCCGCTGAGTACTGAAACATTGGAAGAAATTGAAGCATCATAGATACCGGCACCTCCCAGGCCTACCAGGCAAACCCATTGTGAATAGCCATTGAATTTACCTTTCATCCACTATGCCAAACGAAAAAAAATTGTTCTAGCAACTCATTTCTCTCATGGTTACTTCCTCTGATCTTTCATCGAGCAAAAGAACAATAGGCCTGTACTGTAGTTATTCCACTGAGAGATCTCAAGATGCAGTATAGCCATCCGACGGAGATAGTCAAACTATCAAACAAAGCGCAGATCAAAATAGGTGATAGTTTTGAAAACACGGTAAGATCGAACTTAGAGAGGCAAGAACTTGAATTCCTGGACTGGACAAACAAGTGAAATCTCGGTACCTCCCAAGCCTACCATAGCCACGCAGCAAATAAGCTGAATTTCGAGTTTGGCATCCATCAAAAACCTGAATTCCCTGTGGTTCATTCTCCTGTGTCTCTCAGCTTTAGCTACTACTCACCCTCTTGTTATCTCTTTTATATATGGGCTGGATTGGGAGAGCTTGTATATCATATATGTCGACAACCAAATGTACTATCTGATTCCATGCAATAATTATTGATTCAGCACTTGCAGCTAGTCATGTTCAGTACATCAGGCCACCACCAAAATAGTGCTGCCGTGATGCAAGGGGAGCCGCATAAGTCTGATCACTGATCAGTTTGGGCACTTCAATTGTTCATCAGTTCAAGCAGCAAGTGAAACTGTATCCTTGCTACCACTCAATGGGAATCATGCATTCCGATGATAAATTGCAAGTCTTAGAACAGAATAGCTTGGAAAACAACAAACAGTTAACACAAAGGGAGGATCAAATGCCACCAATTGCTGTGCGGTGCTGCATGTATCCACATTGCTATGTCAGCAAATCTCACCAGAGTTGTCGCTTTAAGGATCGTATTGGCATTAGCATTGTCGAGATGGAACAGATGTGGAATGTTACTGCGACTACATGGTGCCATTGCATGCTTCGGTTCGCCATGGAGAAAGCTCTTCGTGATGCCGTTGCCAGTTCGACACAGTCGTTTCGTGACATGAAAACTCCTGATGCCTCCTAGTCCGACAGCCATAGCAACCCAGCAGCATGGCTGGTTGGAGTGGCCACTGCTCCATGTTCCTCGAAGAGCTACTCGTGTCAGCTACTCCATGTTAACTTGCAAGAACTTGATGATGCGCACCATGAACTCTTGTTCATGATGATCTCTATTAATTCTTGCTAGCTAACATGAGAAGCGAGAAATACAAGCAAGGTTTTGTGCAATCTATTTCTCGCGCACGCATCACTTTTGCCACCTCATCTGGCCTTCTTATGGAGCAGAAAATATATAGCACGGCATCATGAATGAATTTACAATCTGAATATCTCTGAAGCAGTCTGATTTTTTATCAAATGCAGGAAAAAGAAGAAGGGGTGCACATGAATCAATGCAGCACATGAACCAATCCACACCACAGACTTGGAGATATGTCCAATCAGTTTGTAGACTGCGACTATGGCGTCGTACGTTGTATGATGCGGTCACCATTGCCGCCGGTGATCCCTGATCACACGGCGCCCTGGAACGAAACTCTCAGGGAAATCACGAACTCACACAGATGCACAATGAAAAGACGAGGTGAAAACTGGCCCATCTAGTAAAACATACTCGAATGAAAAACTCTGAAAAATGAGAACCAGACGCGCTCCAGGAAACTGAAACTCTGAAGGGCAGCACAGGTTTACAACATAGAAACTAATAGCCATGCATGCCGCGATGATCCTAGTGATGCCACACATTCACTTCATGACATGACAACTCTTGATGCCTCCCAGTCCAACAGCCAGAGCAACCCAGCACCATGGCTGGTTAATTGGAGTGGCCACTGCCCCATGTTCATCGAAAAGCAACTCGTCTCAGAAACATTATTGCCGCTACAACTTGCAAGAACTTCACGGTGTTCATGATCTCTCTCAAAACAAGAAGCGGGATACATAAGGTTTTCTCTCTAATCTCACTTTTGGCAACTGATCTCCTTCTGTATGGAGCAGCGTGTTGAATAGTCCTACATTGGTTGTGGAAGGGCAAGGGACCTAGCTAATATATAAGTGGGAGGGCACGGGACCTAGCTAATATTTTTGGTAATTGGCTAAGGGGAGCCTAGATCCATTAAAAAAATTGATTTTGTTTGTAACTAGCACCTTGTGTTGGTCCATTTGGCATTGCCGCAATGATATAGTTTTTGATAACCAAAAATTGTCTAACCCCATGCAGGTTGTCTTCATGTCTTCCAGTTGACTCCATTCTTGGTCCTTGATGCTTTCATAGGAGGAGTAGAATATTTTGCGCAGTGAAGCTACACTCTTGAAATCGATAGCCATGGGACTTTTGTTCACATGCATGTAAAAGGAAGGTGTAGGTGGAGTCACTGTGCAATCTTCTTTGCTCCATAAAAGGATCATCAGAAGTACCAAAAGTGACTATGGAAGCTTTGATGTTACAATATCACCTCTAGGAAATTCCTTAATTAATGACCATTCCTCAAGAATTTCAGTGGATATATATGATATATGGTTGTGCAAGTTTCGGTAGCAAAGTTTCTTGATGGACAGTGTTTCATGGAGAAGAGGCCAATCCATCCATTGAACTAGTTGCTATGGCTATTGGCCTAGGAGGCATCAGGAACTCCTGTATCTCATGATAAATTCATCAGCCAGAATCACCAAGATCCTCCACACATGGCCACTGAAATTCTCTTCATCTGGCCAAAGAGCAACACAATGCACATGGAGACCCAGGAGGCTGTCCACCAAGCCACAGCCCCAAACCTTTACTACGACAGGAGCTTGACATGCCGATGCATCCTCGTCGTGGTCGTGCTGCTCTCCGGAGGTTGTGTGGCAGTGGTAGTCTATCGTGATTGCAAAGTTCTTTTCTTTTGAATGAATCGGGAAGCCGCCAATTTCATAGAATAGAGAATGAGTAAACAGTACATAACCAGGAGAAATGAATGAATGTACAAGCTTAGGGCCTTTGGACCAAGCTAACTATATATAGAGTGAGCCAGTTGCCGAGGTTTTTCGCAATTGCAAAGTTCAACTCATCGAAAATGACAAGTACTGTTAAGTTCTAGAGTAATTTTACCATCCAATATTTGGTAACTTGAGGTACCACATTTTGCACACAAAGTTCTGATACCTTGAGATACTAAGCACCTTGAGGTACCACATTTTGCACTAGAGGTGCCAAATTTTACACTATAAAGTACCTCGAGATAACGAATATTTGTGGTACCTCAAGGAACCAAATGTTGGATGGTCAAATTAATCTTTTAGAGCAATTTTACACTATATATAGAGATTTTCTCCGGTCCAATAAAAAGTATCTCGTGTTACCGGTAGCAAATCGTTTCCCATCGTTGGATCTAACAATGCCCATTCTGCGCAGTTAGATTCAATGATCAGAAACGAATTGGTACCGTGAGGTACCGGTACCTTGAGGTAATTTTTGCTGGTCGGAAGCAAATCTCTATGTATAAATCTTACACTTCGATCACTCCCACTATATATGTTTGTGGATATTGATATATTAGAATGTTAGGCAGCTCACTCTCTGGAAAGTGTGAACATGACTTATATATCTCAAGTTTTTTTACAGGTAACTGCAGCATTGACCTGAATTTACTTTTATGAAATGATATCTCACCAAACCAGATCATATATACTAAGTAGTAAGAAATGGCACATGCTGAGGGGGGAGATGAACAACGTATCACACAACCAGAGAAAAGTTTTTGGTTTAAGCCACATACCCAAATCTTTTTAAGAACAGAAAAGCATACAACAAAAAGGTGAAAGCAGGTCCTGCCAGTGTGTTGGCTTAGGAGACACTTCTCTGTCTGGCTGCACTGAATTTGATCCTTAGCTAGTGCAGCCATTGAACTAGTCCAAAGTCAGAAGATCAAGCCTGAAACAGTGAGATCATAAGGAGGCCCCGCTCGATGACATTGATGGCCATAGATTCCAGTGATCATCAATGTCAACCTCGTGCAGGAAGCATGCCAGTACGTTATGGCACAACGAACACAGCACTGCTTGTAGTTGTTGTAGCAACGGCAGTGGCATTCTTGTGGCGTATGTTTTTTAGGTGGTTTATATATGGTGGTAGAATTTTATTATCAATAGTATCATGAGTAGAAGTGATTAAGAAATTTGATTTATCAGTTCTCCTATCAACAGAAAAAACATATTCTACTATGAAAGGTCTAGATTAGTTGTACTATCAAGAAAGACCATTTAAAAATTGTAACTGAAAATTCTTATGAGAAAATTGCCGCCCGTTTGTTTCACAACGGCTGACTTGTCCGCTTAATCTTGGTCCAACAGTATGAAATTAAATGACTGTCATCCAATTGGCTCAGGGGATATGGAGGCTAATGGACACTATAATTCCACTCCAAAGAGGATTCCTCTGCAAAATGCTACTTTGTTCATACTTTGAACAATTCACGGTCAGTCATTTAGGATCATAACCGACGTAGCGCGATGCACATGAAAAGTGTAGGATCGTAAAGGGCCTTTCCCACCCAAAAGCTAGCCAATAAGGTGAGGGGCTCCTCCACTTATATATTAGGTATCTTGTTCTTTCACAACCACTGTAGGACTATTCAACAATCTCCTCTTTCACATATTGGTGTCCCTCAGCCATTCACCGCTCCTTCACCGTATCCCCACTGTCGCTCAGGTATACAGGCCCCGCACTACACAGGCACAGATGGTCCTTCAGGCTTACACACATTGTTCCTCGAGTCAGAGATGTTGAACTAGCCAAGCTCTGATACCAATTGTAGGATCGTAAAGAACTTTTCCCACCCCAAAAGCTAGCCAATGAAGTGAGGGATTATTCAACACGCTACTCTTCCACAACCAATGTAGTACTATTAAACACGCTGCTCAATACCAATGTAGGACAATTCAAGGATGGTTTTTTTTAACATCCTTGTTGTTTGGAATCCTTTATTAGAGCATTTTGGTTTAAACTTGTTACTTATGTTACATGTATACTAGCTGATTTGCCCGTGTGTTGCCATGGAGTCTTAAAAAAAATCTTTGGCATTCATTTTAAAGCCTAAAAATATTTAGCTCTCCAATCATTTTTTGTCATAAATATTTTCGATTCTTACCTAGTTAGCCAGAGTCATGAGACATAGAGCTATGTTTCTTTGACATACACATTGTGAGCCCACACATCAGTAAGAGGATGGTGATGGTAGATTTACTGCAGCCACCACTATTAATATTTAAAGTAGTATAGATTAAGCTTCACTGTTTTTTTTTTGTTTTGCTCTTTTTTTTGTTCCTTCTGTTTTTCAAAGCCCTTCTTCAAAGTGGTTGCTAATCCTTAGGCCTGAGGTGTCGAGTTCATGTCAGGGCAATCTGATTTTCTGTTTGTATGGGATGTCACATTATGTGATGGATCGTGACGCGTGCATATCTATCAGCCTCAATGGTCAAGCTCTGTTTTTCATTCATATTAATGCAGGAAAGAAAGCTAGAGAGCAGCCTTGTCGACAAAGTTTGCATCACCAAAAATTCCATTGGTTATCATCTTCAATCAAGTTAGATCATTTGATCCTGCCAACATATATAAGATCGTCAAATCACCATGGCTCACCTCATGTCCAGAAGTTTAGACATAGGTTTACCATTACAGATTTGATTTTTCTGGATGACACCTCCTTTTTTTAGATGAAAGGCATTGCGCCCAGCTTTTACTAAAAAGCATAAGAGTGGATGACACCTCCTTTATGTTGCAGGTGGGTCATTGTTGCTCTCGCCTGATTGGTTCATGGGCCACATACGAAAATCAATTTTCACAGACAGACCTCTTAACCCATAGCTTGTTTTTTATTGGTAGGTGATCAGTCTGTCATTTCGATTCTTCAGTTCAAAAAGCAGCGAGTTAACGCCCAGGTAATCCTGACTAGAGGTTATCCTGATATTAAGTTTCAGGTTTTCGAACACATAGCTTGGCAAAGAATAATTAACACCAGTACCGAGGTCTTCAAATTTTGAGCATAACATATTCACAGTAAACTCACACATCATAAGTTCGTAACTAGTTACAGGTTTTTGTCTGGGGAGTGAAATGCTTCCATAAGACCTATATGTGTTTCCTGGTAAGAAATTTACACTAGGTTGATAGGAGAATCAGTAGAATAAAAAGCAATCAAGAAACTAATGTGTTGACGCACACTCATACGACCAGCTGCGATCTCTTTGCTGTGCAGAGGTTGCCTATTGGCCCATTTGAACTGGTGACATGCATGTTCCTGATGCCTCCTAGGCCAACATCCATAGCCACCATCTACATGGCTGGAGTGGCCTCCATGAAACATTGCTGAACATTTCGATTCTTCAGTTCAAAGCAGCAAATCAATGGCCACGCGAACTACTCAAAATTTTAAATTGCCAGAATTTCGGGCATATTAGTTCAGAAAAAACAATAATTGGCACCCATAAGTTCAATATTAGTTGGGTGGTGCAGATTGATCAAATGGGTATATGACTAGAGCGCCGTTCTATATATAGAGAGAACATCTTGTAAGCAGAAATATCAGTTTCACCCACCTGAGAAATGTATCGCTGTTATTGATTGCAATCCTACTGGTAGCTGCACTGCTGGGCTCCATTCACTTTATAGGATTTCAAGTCTGGGTATTCACTCGATAATTAATTAATTTACATATTAAATCCATCACAAGAATACAAGATGATATTTAGTAAGAGTTCACTCACCCCCTAAACTATGATTTCCCCAGTCCCCAGCTGGTCGTGTTGTGGCAGGCGACACTGATGCATGTAATATATCTCCATATATCAAATTATTTTAGAAATTTTGGGTATTCACAAGAAGGCAGGCCTCATTGTGATTGATGTGCCTACGGTAATGAGTATCGCGGGACGAATGACTGTGTTATATACACCATGCATCATCTCACTGGGATCACCTTGACTTGCAATGGCTGAACCGGCTAGAGATCTCCTGAAACTCTTCTGTTTCACCAAATTTGAGCAAAATTGCAATGGATCCAAAATAACCAGAAGATTATTGTGGCTTTGATCTCAGCGACAGCAGCTTGAATCGTTGGACAAAGTGACATGAGAGCTCCTGATGCCTCCTAGACCAAAAATTACTCATAGCAACACATAGGCTGTTTGTGGAGACCTGGAGTTTACTCTACCTCCATGAAATACGTGTTAATATATCTCCCTGTGTGTGCGTGCGCACGCATGTATGTTGGTGTTCTATTGGGTCTATATAATATTTGATTTGATGCAATCATTTAATACAAGTAAATTCCAATTCAATGCAACACTAACATCTGAAAGCCTGGAGATATATGTCATGTTCATCCTAATAAAATTCAGAAAAAACAGACACAGTGGGCTACCTAATATTCTTAGTAATTGAATCCTGATGAAGGAGATTTATGCCAGACTGATTGAATAGCAGAAACAAAAATCAGTGACTGTGCACATGTCAGTGAAATACAGCCTCCTACGGAGTTCTTTTCATATGCATCACCTACGTTGGTTATGATCCTACATGACCGTGAATTGATCAAAGTATGAACATAGTAGCATTTTTCAGAGGAATCGGCCTCTTTGGAGTGGAATTATAGTGTCCATTAGCCTCCACACCCCATGAGCAGATTGGATGACAGTCATTTCATACTGTTGGACCAAGATTAAGCGGGACAAGTCAGCTGTTGTGAAACAAACAGGCGCCAATTTTTTCATAAGAGACCTTATAGTAGAATTAATCTAAACCTTTTGTCTTCTTTCATCCATTAAATTATTACTAGCTACCGATAGTAGAACGATTTTTTTGTTGGTAACAGAACTAAATCAATTTCCTAATCATTTCTACTTCTACTAATGATACTACAGGTAATAAAATACTACCAACATAAACCACCGAAAAAAATATATGCCACTGCCGTTGTTACAAGCGGTGGTGTGTTCGTTCTGCCACACTGCCATGCTTCCTACACGAGGCTGACATTGATGATCATACTGGAATCTATGGCAAACCCTCCACCGCCATCATCGCAAGGTCAGGGCCTCCTTATGATCTCACTGTTTCAGGATTGATCTTCTGACTCTGGACTAGTCCAATGGCTGAACTAGCTATGAATCAAATACAGTGCAGCCAGACATAGACGCACGGTGACATGAAAGCTCCTGATGCCTCTTAGGCCAACAGCCCTGCATACTAACACATTGGCTGGACTTGCTTTGATCTCTGTTCTGTTGTATGGTTTTCTTTTCTTAATAAAATTTGGGTATGCGGCTTAAACCGAAAAGTTTTCTCTGGTTGTATGAATCGTTGTTCATCTCTCCCTCATCAGCATGTGGCATTTCTTATTGTATGCTATTTGGTCAATATATTTGCTGGTTTGGTGCGATGTAATTTAGTACAGGCAATTCAAGTTCAATGCTGCGGTTACCTGTAAGAAAAAAACTGGAGATAAGTCGTGTTCATACCTTCCAGAGAGTGAATTGCCTAACATTCTGACACATCAATTGATCAAAGGGTATGATTTAAGCAGCAATGAATTCTGTCTTGAATTGTTCTTATTCTATCCACTTTTGCTGTCAGGAATGGAACTTCACCAGTGAAACTATAACCACCTAGAAACCAGAGCACAGTATAACATCTCATACTTCAAGTTTTGGTGGTCTAAGCAAA